TGGATAGACAAAGCAGAGGAGAAAATAGTAATACCAATGCAAATACACTTGTATCCATCTAATAAATAATAACATAACCTTAAAATAGGTACAATCTATTACAGAAATGCACATGCCTTAGTAACAAAGAATAACATGCCCTGGGTGGTAACCCACAACTCTAATCCCAGCTATCTGAGTGTGGAAGCTGGAAGGCCACAGGTTCAGGGGCAATCTGAGTTACACAGTGAGATATTGTTACAAAATGAAATTTACAGAAAGGGCTGAGATAAAGACTAACTTTATAATGCTTGACATGTGTAAAGGCATCCACTCAATTTATAGTCCCACAAAAGAAAAAGAGAGAGAAGGAGAGAGAGAAGGAAGACAGTGCAAATACATCAACAAATAAGAAAGGAGGAAGCGAGGAAACTAGCAGAAGAGGTGCATTTTAATTTGCTATTTTCTCCTTTTTGGGGACTCATCAGTACAGTGTAGTTCATTCTATAATTACTATGAATATTTTATTTCTAACATCCTATAACAAGTAATCTATTTTTCTACTGTTATTATTTGTGTGTGTGTGTGTGTGTTTGTCTGCATGTATGTAAGTGTACCTATGTCATGCAATGCCTGCAGAGGTCAGAAGAGGGTGTCAGATCCCCTGGAACTGAAGTTAAGGATGGTTGTTAGCCATCAGGCAGGTGCTGGGAATTGAACCCAGGTCCATTGCAAGGGCAGCAGGTGCTCTTAACCACTGAGCCATTGTCCAGCCCCAAAAGTAAGATTTAAAATAAATAAATAAATAAGAAGTGGGCTGGAGAGATGGCTCAGTAGTTAAGCGCATGCATTTCTCCTGCAGGGGATCCAAGTTTGATCCCAACCACCCATACTGTGTGACTCAAATGTCTGTAACTCCAGCACCAGGAAGATCATTCTCAGGGCACCCTCACATGTGTGCATACACTCACACAAAAAGACACACACAGACACACGCACGCATGCACACACACACGCATAGTTAAAAGTATTTTAAGAGTTTAGGTAATTAACTATCATTTGTTATGAAATAAATCCAATATAATGGTGAAATTAAAATGTCATTTGTCTTTATTATATTTACTTAAGACACTGTAATTGAAAACATGGACACTGAGAACTAAAGTGTTTTTTGACAATGTTCTTAATGTTTTAAGTTAAAGTGTACAGTAAATCTTAGCTTAATACTTTCAAATTCTCCTTTAGGTTGGTAATTAAACTTTGTAAAAAAATGTAGATATGACCTTGAAGATTTTGAAGACTATGGGCCAATTATCATCTTTTTTATGATTATTAAAAATCACTTCCATGACTTTCATTGCTGCTCTCTTTATGATCCCATGTATTCACAGCAAAGACTGACTATGTGCAAAAATTCATTGTCCCAGAAGTGGAGTTCACTTTTACCGATATGATTAAACTTTAGCTTTATAAGATGAGAACCAGCTCATCTGAAAAACCCTATGTAATTTAGAATCATTTCTATGTCCCATGTGCGTAATCCTCTAAGCTAGTTTTCATCTTTGCTGTCAATACATGTATGATGCATTTGATAACAATTTGATACTTTGAATAGCAGTTTGATAATTACAACTGCAGATAGCAAATTAAAATGCACCTCTGCTACACTCTAAAAATAAGTAGAAGGTATTTAGCACTGGAGAATGTAGCTGTTGGGCTTGCTACAAATCCACTTCCTATCTGCATAGACCCTGGCACTGCTAATTCCATTGTCATTCAGGTAGGCGTGTTCTCCCACTCCTCGGATGGAAACCCTAAAACAAAAACAAAAAGAATAAATCTGCATAGGCTGCATATACGTTAATTCCCGCACTGGAATGTCTACTGTTCCTACTATATATTTTTAATATGAATGAAAGAAAAAAGTCCATCACAAACTATTTAAACAATTTTTGAACTTGGTTTCTTATACATTCTCAAGTTCTTTGAAAATCACACCTTTGCCATTCATCCACTCCAGACCCTGTTATGCACTGACAAGGTATGTAACTGCTGCTTGCTGCCATGTACAAATGAACTGCTGCTATGGTGACCTCACTGAGGGTGATTTTTATTCTTACCTGGAACAGTTCCATACGTTATCAAGGTGAAGAAAGGCAAAACCTTCCTAGTAAATTGCTCAAAGTGCTTAGCATCAGTGATGGAAGTGATTGGATCTCCATATTTTATTTTTACAATGAAATGCTTATGTTCACAGTTCAAGAACTATTTCTGGGTTCTTTCTGATGACCAGACATTAGGAGAGGTCCCCACTGCTCCCTGGAGTCTCTGTTTTTGTGAACTGATCAGCAGTGCAGAGTGGACTTGAGAATCTGATCCCCGCAGTTCTGCACTGGCTTTCAGAGCCCTCACTGCGCATGTATGGTTCTGTCTGCATTCCACTCAGGATTTATCAGCAAGGAAAAGTTTTGAGTCACTGAAGGAGAGGTCACGAGCTATCCCAGATGTTATCTTGCTAAAGATTTGAAGAGAAATTGCAGTAAGTAAAAGCTTTCCCAAATCACAGCTAATAAGAGGAAGAGCATAAAAAGGATTTAGATTTGTGGGGATGTGGAGTTTGCTGGGGATTGGCTCATGTGTGTCAGCACACTCTACCTCTGAGCTGCATCTCAAGTCCAAAGGTTTGTGTATCCTCCTTCCTAGTACAGTAAGCTTCACAGGATGCTGCCTTTTGCCTCTCAGAACTACAACTCATGCATATAATGACACAAGAACACACCAGAAGGAAAAGTCCCCAAACATACGTGTTGTTGTATTCAGTGTTGTCTGTCCACTTCCAAGGCTGTCCTGATGATTCTCTGTACAGGCCGATCCAGTGATCAGAAGGGCCTTTATATCTCCTCAGGAAATCCTGTCAGAAAACACAGAAAGCAAATGCATGTGTCTCTGTTTCAGATGACCTTAAGTCTGGCTACCCCACAGCCTCCTGTTGGGATGGCAGCAGGTGTCA